TGTTCCCTTAGACAAACACTCATCCCATGTTTACAAGGTACCCTTGGACGAAGCAACCCATGGCTGCCGACAAGGATCATTCTGTTAGGTTGGGTCGACTACTCCCTCTGACTAAGTAGACCAGGGACCACGATGGCCCGGGACGCAGAACCATGGAATCTTGATCGGGTCCATTATCCATTCCCCCACCATCTGTTTTAAGTGAAAGATGGTGAAATTTTTAATTTTAAATATAAAATCTTCACATTTCTAAATATCCTCATGCCCATGCTGCTACTATATGACATATAACGCGTATTTCTACGTATCTGATTGACGACTAGCCTTAATCGAAAGTTCTCTCTCGTTATCGAGAGGGGTAATTAACTATAGGGGGCTTGCGTCTATAGGAGCCCCTATAGGAAGCTAGAACTCAGATCATAAAGTCCTAGCAAAATGAGGGCGAAATCTCTGGGTACTATCTTATATACAAATCCATCTGCCTTCCAAAATTTACCCCATAGCATAATTCTGTTATAAAAAAAAAGCAAGTGGAGGCCGGGGCCGAATTTTCGGAGCCCACATGGCTGAAGGAATCTAGCTTCTGGTGAGTCTGAAGGCAGCACGTCTGTTTTCTATTTAGCAAGGCGATAGATGACTTGCTAGTTGCAAGGAGAAATCTAGGGAAAAGATCGTAGGGCTTATTTTAACCATGCTAAACATGCTTCTTTCTCTTACAATGTGTCTAGATTCTTTGTTCTTTTTAGTTATTCCTTCTCTTTTCCTCCAATTGTTAAAAGCTTATGTTGCATCATATAGCCTAAGGGCTAAAACATTTGATACTAGTGGAATACTTCATCCCCTAGACGACGTCGACAACAACATCAACATCAAAACTTTATCCCACTGTGGGGTGGGCTACGTGAATCTTTTTTCTCTATTGTGTCCTATTAAGATTCAAATTCTTATTTAAATTAATAAGAAAAGTCATTTCTAGTACTTTCTAACCAAGTCATTTTAGGTCTACTTCTACCTTTCTTAATATATGCTGGATCTAATACATCTACTATTCCCAAACCATCTAAGGATACTCTCTCTAATATTATCTGCCATTGGAGCTATCGAACCTTTTAACACATATGCTCATTTTGCACTCTATCTCTAAGTATACAACCACTAATCCACCCGAGCATTCTCATTTTACAACACAACTTAATTTTGTGCTTCTCTTTTAATCGCCAACATTCTACACCATAAAACATTGCAGGTCTCACCAGCACCTTATATAATTTTATATTTACTTTGAGGGGTGTTTTTTTATCACATAGCCGGCCTGATGCATTCCTCCACGTTAACCATCTAACTTGAATTCTACTAATAATATTGTTGAGGTAATATATATATATATATATATATAGAAAGCATAGAGACACCTCCTTTTATGAAATGACACAACTTTTTGGTTAAAAAAGGGGTAGGGAGGGACTAACGTAATTTCTCTCCGCTCTTGTGCTCGCACTCTCCTGTTCCGACATGAAAATGAGGCATCCCTTTGCTCTAGCATGTGATAGCAGGTCTGTGGGTCGACTCCACTCGCAACCTGCTCGGTCCTGCATACCTCCCTCCACCCCACCCCCACATGCATGCCCATCGTGCCCACATGCCCAATGCGACATGCGCGTCCTGTGCTATTGACTCACCTCAGGCCCGTACTTGCTTCGCATGCGGCCTGCCCGCACAATCCTTGCACTCTCGCACGACTAGCACACTATGCCTGCGCTTAAAGGCACCCCCCAAAGGCCTACGACCCACATACCCAGCTTGCTTGACCTGTGCATTTGACCCGAGCATTTTGTCGACCCGATCCCCCCCAAGCTTGCTCCCATGATTTGCTTTTGCACGATTTGCTTCGGCCTCATCCTATCTTGTTTTTTGTCTCCTGTGAGTCTTTGACAGAAGAGTGTTTGAAAAAAAAAAAAGAAAATAGAAAGAAAAGAAATAATACTAATAATAATAATAGGTGTCGAAGACCCGTCGTTATATCTTTGATTCGGTTGAGAGAAGAATAAAAAGAAGACCTGCGCCGTTTTATCTTAGATTTAATCTGGAAGCACTTATATATAAGTTCTCGTGCCATCATATTCTAGATCTGGCCAGGAAGAACCAACGGCAAGTGTTGTCCCAACCTTCCTTCGCGGGGAGGGGACATCAGGAGGCTACTGAATTTTTGAGGAAAGATGCTAAGAGAATTTGAGCTTATCTTTTGAATAATTAAAAGGGAAGAGCCACTTAAAAAATTAGGAGGAGCCACTTTATTGCACATTAATTAATTAACATTTTTAAATGTGATTAATTTAAAACTTTAATTAATTAATAAAGAAAACACTTTAATTAATTAAATTTTCCTTTAATTAATTAATTAAATCTAAAAAAACAAATTAAAAATATTAAGAAATGTGGGGAGGATGGGGAAAGTGTTTGCACTAAATGCTTTAATACAACTGTCCAACCAAATGCTCTAATAAAATCCAACATATATCATCTAAATGCTCAAATACAGTCCAAAATACATCAAACTATAACATCAAGCAAGCAATAAAAGCTAAAATTGTCAATTTGTTGGCATCTATTGTGGGCTTTAGTACCTGCAGGCAAACAAACAAAATGCAAATCGGCTACAACAAAACAATGCTAAAAAAAAAAGAACGCGCTAAAAGCAAAACAATCGTGCTGAGTTTGAAGAAAAGTGCAAAAAACTATGCAGCTCTAATAGGTAGCTTCAAAATGGAGCAGTAAAACCTAAACTAATTGATTTTTTAGGGGAACTTTAAAGTGAGGGGAACTTTTAAGTGAAGTAAAAAACCCTAAAAGCTAAAATTACATGCAACTTTTAATAGAAGCAGTAAGACTTACCCCAAATTAAAATTATAGACAACTTTCAATGGAAGCAAAAACTTTTAAGATAAGTGATAAACCCTAAATTAATCAACAGGTTGCTTCCAAAAGAAACATTAAGTTCTATCCCAAATCAAAACTATAGGCTACTTCTAAATAGAAGCAATAAGACATATTTCTAATAAAAAAACGAAGAGGCAACTTCCAATGGAAGCAATGAGACCTATCCCTAAGGCAAATTAATAGATAACTTCAAAGAGAAGCAGTAAGACCTATTGCAATAATTTATTAGAGAAACTTCTAAGTGAAGTAATGGACCTTAAACCTAAAAACTAAAATTAGAGACAACTTTTAATAGAAGCAATAAAACCCATCCCAAATCAAAACTACAAGCAATTTTCAATGGAAGCAGTAAGACTTACTGTTTGAGAAACTTCTAAGTGAAGTAATAATTCCTAAATCAAATCTACAGGCAACTCCTAAGCGAAACTGTAAGCCCCATTCTAAATCAAATCTACGGGCAACTTCTACACAGAGCCGTAAGTCCCATCCTAAATCAAATCTACATACAACTTCTAAGTGGAGTCGTAAGCTCCATCTTAAATCAAATCTACAGGCAACTCTTAAGAGGAGTTGTAAGACTCATCCTAAATCAAAATAACGGGCAACTCCTAAGTGGAGCTGTAAGCCACATCCTAAATCAAATCGACAGGCAACTCCTAAGCGGAGTCGTAAGCCCCATCCTAAATCAAATTAACGGGCAACTCCTAAGTAGAGCCGTAAGCCCATCCTAAATCAATATACAGGTAACTTCTAAGCGGAGCTGTAAGCCTCATCATAAATCAAATCTACGGGAAACTCCTAAGCGGAGCTTTAAGTCTCATCCTAAATCCAATCTATGGGCAAATAGTTCCATCCCAAGCAAAATTACTAGGCAACTCCTAAAAGGACCAATGAACCCCCAACTAAATAAACTAACAGTCATTCTAATATATATAAGCCCCAAACTTAAATTATAACCAACTATTTGGGATCCCTGAGAGGAGGCAACACATGACTGCTAATCAAATTTTATGGATACTACAATCAATGATTCGTCAACATTGATAGACCGAAACCTACAGTATTTCCGGGATGACGGAACCATGGGATTCCCATTTCCCATCCCCCTCAATTGAGACTAAAACACCTAAAATTTTGAAGCTATGCTAGTTATTAATCCTTAATCGAGAGTTACCCCTACGAAGTAGAGTGAATAATTAACTATGCGGGTTTGCGCTCATAGGAAGTAAGGACAGATCTAAATACACCTCGATACAATTCTTGGGAGAAATCTAGTTAATTAAAATCAATATGCCTTTAGGAGAATGGAATCCTAAGCCTAGAATAGGTTCATGCCAAGCGCTATTTTTCTTGAGCGAACAAATATCCCCATCTATTTCACCACTACTTTGAACAATAGACTCGAGATATTTAAAACATGTACTCTTTTTAATGAATTGATCGCCCAAAGGATATTCATCTCCCTAATTGTGTTAAAAATTGAAAGAAAACTTGATATTTAATCCCATCATGTACATTAGTACAACTATTTTGCAACTAAGTCACAACCTTACCACTCATGGATAAAAAATCATAAATTTTTTTGCAAGACTATAATTAAGAGTGGGAGAAAAGGAAAATTCAAATAGGAAAAATATGCACAACCTTAAAAGTTTGTTAACATTCCAAAGAAATTATTTCTATGAACGTTTTATCTAAATCGTTATTAATCTGTTGTAGAGCTCTAACTGAAACAGCATGCTTCCTGGTTCCTGGGTTCAGATCACATATTTGAGTTCCGTCCGCGGCATTCCTTAAATTGAATAATCATCAGTTTCTTGTGTGAAAGTGATTTGAAATGTCCTTTTTTCTTTGTAACTAGTCTTGTGCCTACTTATCTATAACTGTCATTATGTTAATGTAATAAAATATTTGAGATTGTTTTTTATCTTAAAAAAACAGTTAATTAATGTCACATTTCTTCTTGTCATGATATTAATGCTTGCTTTTTTATTACTCCCAACCAAAGCAATATTGATGATGATGTTTTTATGGTTTATGTAATTGAACTGCTATTTTTTTAGGCAATGCTTGAGATACATGAGCATATGCATAATGCATGGAAGAACAAAATTAAAGACAAATCTCTACATTCCCGTATGTTCACCTGGATACATAACCTTCCATTTGATTCAAAAGTAAAGGAATGGTTAATTGGAGAAGAGAGATATAAGCAAGAGACTCGGGAGAAGCATATACTCCATGCTGTAGCTGATAAGTTTCTCGTTGACAGACAATCAGCTAAAAGTGGGGCAACAATTCTTTGCTTTGATGAGATTCAGGTACATCATGGAATTATATTACTTTATAAAAATCACGTTTTTCTCTTTTTTGTACGTATTATTGTCTAAGTCATGTATCACATATAAAGAAACCAGATAGAAATCTCCTCCCCTCTCCCTTTCTTTCTCTTGGCCATACTTGGTGCCATAGAGTTGACATTTTAAATTGTGGGTCCTAAATTTTGCCTTAAGCAGAACATATTTTACACAGACTTAGTCGTACGCCATTTCAGGAATTTTTACTATATATATTTTTGGATGCCATAGGTTTTGTCTTTATAAAGCGAGAAAAAGGGGATGCATTGCCTCAGACATTTATGATAAATTAGAGTTATGATTCTTCAATTAACCGTGGTGAAATATATAGCTATGGCAACATGGTGTAGCAATCAATTAAGTGAATCTGTATGAAATTCTTGTGTGTTTTTTTTTTTTTTTTTTTTTTTTTTTTTTTTTTTTTTTTTTTGCGTTGATTTTCACTTTTGTGTTTTTATTTTCTTTTTTGCTCTCTGTGTTTGCATAAATTTCACCTATTTCCCAACATATCCATTTGTATTTCCCCTCCTCTTCCTGTTCTCAGCCATACTTGGTCTTATAGATTTGCCAGACCATAATCACTCCTAAATTTTCCACTCATACTAATCCTGCATTCGAGTCTGCATGTTCTGACATCAGTTCTTCTTTAATAGATGAATTTTCACAAAATATTTTCGTCATATCTACTTATTCTCTGTTGGAAATCCAACTTTGGGTATGAAAGAAAAGAAAAAACCCAGTTAAAATCTCTGATAATCTTAGCTCTGTATCTTTGCTCTGTGTTGTGTCTATTAGTTATTCAAGCCTTGTACATTTCAAATTGTTTTGTGCTCTACAGACTGTTGATGTTTTTGCTATAGTGGCATTATCTGGAATCCTAAGCAGCTTACTAAGTAGCGGGACGATTCTTGTTGCTACCAGTAATAGGGCTCCTGAAGACTTGAATCAGGTGAGCCTCACATGAAGATAATCTTACAGATAATACTTTATCTATTCCCACATATATTGGTTTTCTTCTCCTGGTGATTGTTTCAAGATCATATTAAAAAATACTTATCTTTGGCTACTGGCACTTTTAGTAAATGTAGAATAGTTAGTTATGCCCCCACTCTTGGGGTTTTCAAAAGTACTTTAGAGTTCTAACTTCAATTTTTGAGCTAACTTTGTTCCCTTCAGATTCCAAAGGTACTCCAATAGGCTTGGTAAATTTATGGAAGTATGTCAAATGTATTGGCATTAGCCAATAATGATCAAGTAAGGCCCTCCAAACCAAATGGGGTATGATTGGGAAGGGAATGAAAGATTTATGAATGCCTAAATTTGTATTAGGAAAGATCTACAAAGATAAGGAAATTTCTTTCTATCACCTTAAGCATGAAGAGTTTTGAAAACTCTTGAAAGAGAGATTTAGTAGTATTTTGTGAACTCCTAAGGGGTTCTAGGGCATTGTGTTATCTCTAGAAAGTTTTGATTTGATCAAAAGTATTTTGGCTACTTCTAAAGGAGCTTAAGGATATCTTACTATCTCCCAAAAGTTAAAGGACAAAATTTTAAAGTAATATCAATTAAAAGTTTTTTTTGTCAAAAAGAATAAACAATAAATAAATTTAAAAGTGATGTTGGTCGTTACCTTAGGCAACGACTGACTATTGAGCTGGCGGCAGGCTGATTTGACGGGCGAGCTGGTAGGCTAAGTTTGCTGATCGAAAACGGCATCAATTCATTAGTTGTGCTAATGACTGGCTACTTTTTTAGTTTTATTTAGTTTAAAGTATGACTTATAAATATATAATTTTGTTTAAATTTATATATATTCATAAAAACTGAAAATAAATAAATAAAAAATCCAACAACTGGTTAGTTTTTTCTCTGATATCATTTAAAAATAAACCATTAAAATTTTAGTTTAATTAAAGAGAAAAGGGATAACGACTTGATTTTTTTTTTTTTTTGCAAAAAATAAAAAAATATGTCAAATAATTTTTAATTTAACTATTTGTTTTTCTCTTTTTTTAGTTTTCTTTTTTTTTATTATCTAATTCCCTTTTTTTATAATTATATATAAATTTAAATTAAACTATATATTTATAAATTTACTTTAAAGTAAATAAAACTTAAAAATTAACTAGTCAGTAGCTCAGCTAATGACATGATGAGGTCTGCCAACTCAGTCCGGCAACTCAGCTCGTCATCCCAAATTAGCCTACCACCAGCTATCCAACCAGTTCAATTACCAATCGTTACCTAAGGCAATGATTGGCATCACTTTTAAATTTATTATTTTTTAATTCATTTTGACGAAAATAATTTTTCAATGATATCATTTTAAAAAATTTCCAAAAGTTAAGGGCATTTTGGCTACCGCCTATATGTCTATATGATCAAGGATATTTTGAATATCACTTGAAAGAGATTAGGAATATTTGGTGTCTCCAAAAAAGTTTTAGGGATATCTTACTAGCTCTTAAAAGTTAGGGGTATTTTGGCTACCACCTAAATGTTCAAGGATTTTTTTTATTCCACTTGAAAATGATTAGAAACATATGGTGTTTCCTAAAGAGTCTTAGGGATATCTTACATCTCCTAAAAGTTAAGGGCATTTTGTCTACCACCTTAGGGTTTAAGGATATTTTGACTATCACTTGAAAAGAATTAGGGACATTTAGTGTCTCCTAAAGGGTTTTGGGGATATCTTATTGTATGTTAAAAGTAAGGGGTATTTTGGCTACTAAAATCTTAGCGACATTTAGGCTATGATCATCTGTTTGGGCTAAATAAAAGCTTAATGTTTGAGAATATGAAAGGGTATTTTAGCTATCAATAAAATCTAACTTGGCATAAATATATTGATGTTCAATTTGAGTTGAACTAAATGTAAAAGACTAAGCTAGAAGAGACCTTGGAAGGTTTGAGTTCTTCCTAGGCTTCCAAGTTTCTAAGAAACCCCTATTTGAGAACCATGAATTTAGTATTTGGTACTAAGATTGGTTTTTTTTTTCTTTTGGAGAGAAGATTTTTTATTTGGACTTTAGGCCAAATTTTGGTAATCTGGACCCAGTTGACAACTGAATGAAAGGAGCATTTCTATTTGAGAGAAAATTCACTTATTGATGTAGTTAGAAATTTGGATACAATCAATTGTGGTATTTTGTACGATAATATCCATTGATAGACAAAATAGGACATACTCCATTATAATCAATCAGCTAATAAGACCCTCCTTGATAGGTTTTTTTAATCACAAATGGACCTTTCCACATAGGCTCGAACTTACCACCTTTTTTTACAATAAACTAAAATCATTATGCAAAGACTACGACTAAGTCACCAATCTTGAAAGTTTTAGGATGGACCAATTTGTCATGAGAGCTTGAACCATACCTATTTGATACAACTAAAAATTTTGTTGAGCATGAAAATGCTTCTAATCTAAGCCATCAAGTTTTTCCAACCTTAGTTGACGATTTTGTTCACTTTTAATATAATGGTTGATTGCAACTCTAAGAGGTGGAAGTTGTACTTTCAAAGAGAGATCGACTTGTGCTCCATGAACTAAAGAAAATGAGGTTGATTGAATTGGGGCCTTGTATGTGATATGGTAGGCCACAAGGCTTCAACCAATTTGTCATGTCATTGATTTTTATTCTCGTTTAAAATTTTCTTAAATAATTGAATAAAATTTATGGTCTCCTAGAATAGGAGCAATCAAAATTGTGGTCCTGACAAAGTTAACCTGTATGTAAATTAAAAACAGTAAGTTTACTGATTTGGAGTTGAAATATTAGGTTAAAATTTTGCTTAGAATAGATGAAGAAACAAGATTGAACCTTGAATCTAATCACCTTACTTACACTTGAATGGTGCTTTCTCTTGCATTCACCATCGCAATTCTGATCTTCCTCATTGTTCTCTTCGATTTGTTCTTCTTTTAATTTTCTCATCTCTTTTTTTTACTCCATTTCTCTTTTTATCTTCATCTATCTTTCTCCTTTTCTCTATTTGTCTTTGTCTCTCACTCACTCTCTATTTCTCACACGTGTTCACTCTCCTTGATCTCCCCTCTCTGCTCGCCCGACCTCCTTGCATCTTTGTGTGAGGCAAAATTGGTTGGTTGGTTCCTTTGAATCGACGCATCCGGATGAACAAAATTATCTTATTTGGCTTTTACATCATTAGCATTTAACTACAGGGGACTTGATGACAGCCAAATTACAGAAACCCATACTTGAATAAATACCTAAAATAAAATTACAATTTGCACAATAATGAAAATTGAACACAAATGAACGAACAGGGAACCCATAGTGGACAAAGAACTTCAAGCATGACTTGCTTACAAGCGGTGATGAAATTGTAGAGGATATATCCTATGTATAGGCTATGATATGAAACTTTTAAACAATAATAGCTGACTTGCAATATTAATCTCAATTATGCTTGCAAGTGAATATAAATAATCACATTGAATGGCATAAGTAAGAAGGACATGCACCGAATGTGATGGATCTCCTACAAATATAAATAAGGGAATTGCAATAAACAAAGCATATTGTCTATGGAAAAAGGCAAAATATTTGCAATGAATGCAAGCACTTGCAAACAAGAGTAGAGGACTTGTTTTGCACACAGTAATCTGCCTACGAATTGAAATAGCAGAATCACGAGGAATGTGGCTTCTCCACAAGTGAAAAGCATAAACTTGCGATACTCACGACACCTTGCCTACGAGTTGAGGTGGTATGCGTAGGGTAGAGCGCATGAACTTTTGATGCACATAGTAGTCCTACTTGAAAGCAATATTGGAAGACTTGAACTTAGTGCAGCTTGTTGTAATACACACAATAGCCTTACCCATAAGCAATTTTGGAGGATGTTATACTGAACACAGTTCACATATTTGTGATAGCTGGTGGCTTTGAATGCCTACTACCTGCCCACAAATAGTGTTAATGAAATATGCATTGCACAACAGTCCACCTATGAGAAGCAACAAACAACTCGTAGCATAAACACTATAGTTCACCTGTAGGTAGAAGAGGGGAATTTGTAGTGAAAACTACATTTCATCTGTAAACAGAAGTGGAAAATTTGTAGTGAAAACTACAATTCACCTGTAAGCAGAAGCAGAAAATTCGCAGTGCCAAGTTATCATAGGTGACAACGGGAAATTCGTTGAGAACAATATAGCTCACTTACAAAGCAAACATCATCTACGAGTTGTGCTAAGTGATAATTTGAATGAGTCAAACATGAACTAAATGATTTCTCTCCTATATGCAACAACCGAAAACTAATACGCTTTCACGCCATCGGATCTGCAATACTTGTACAAGCGGATATAAGGCATTTGTAGGCCCTTAAATGAAATCTTGCGCACTTTTTAACGATAATCATTTGTGCAATTGGTTAGATTTAAATATTTCAAAATACCCCCTCATGCATCGTAATATAATTTACCAAATTGAAATGCATCGTCTCGAGGAACGTGTCACTGCTTTGAGTGCAGTAGTCTCGAGAAGCGTATGACAGCCCCAATTGCTGCCTCAAGAAGTGCGTCATTATCTTGGAAACATATGATATTCCGACAATGTGCATTTATGCATACTAATGTGTTCAAAGCATTACACAAATATTTTGGAAAGCCAACAATTGTACAATACAAACTCATCTTGAATGCATGTTATTCCAAAAATGCATTGTGCATTAAGTTACATATAGATAGATTAGGCATATATCTAACATGCAAACACCCTGTGAATATATAATTTGCAAAATGCAAAATGCATTATGTAAACGCATCATCTAACATGCAAAAAGGCACTGTGCATATTAGCGCATTATGTCGACATGCAAATAAATTATATGTTACGTTAATGCATTAAGTCATCATGCAACATACGAAAAATATCATGCAAGCACATTAAGTAGTGCGAAAATGCATTGTTAATACACATCTATACATGTAAACATACAAATACATGTGCAAGTATGTCAACATGCAAATGAATACATGAGTGTGTATGTGAATTTGCAGATATGTCATAAACATCCATAACATTACATACATATAGCCACCATATAAATACATTATGGGAAATGCACTCAAAAGCATGTACCCACATGGGCCCCGACGATGTGATATATATATTATATATAAACATGTGATCCCTAAGGATGCTACGCGTGTCAAAAGTGAATTTAAGTTCAAGTCGGATCTTCTTCTTTGAATGAACCTGAGTTGACATGACTTAAACCATCGAACAAATACATGGTCGCATCGCCAATCAGAGTATTTTATTTTATACATCATATTAGACATTCAAGGTCTCTTACAAAGAAAATTCACATGTTAAAATGAATACCCCGATTTCTGATATCTACATGATAACTTCAAAAATTAAGAACTGGACCTGATCCTCTGTTTGCAAGCAAATAGAGTTGGAAAGGACCAATTAATGAAATAACAATACCTATATATAAACACCGATAATGACAATGTTGAATTTAAATCTCAACTGGAGGGGTTGATTCTTCAAAATCTATCAAATATCTAAAGTTCTGCATCTATTAATAATATTAATATTTAAAAATTAAAAGTTAATTATCTAATAACTCAAAGCAAAATCTATCCACTCTCCGCAACAGTTTGTCGAGATGGATAAATTTGAATATAACTTCAGCTCATAAAGAGCGAATGCCTAGTTAAGAATATCATTCAAATTCAGTGTCAAATTATCTCCTGCCAGTAAGGACGTGACACATGTCCTCTAACTGGTGGTTTCGTCGCCAAATGACACCATTGGTAAATGTTTATGACCGGGGCATTCTGATCTGGTGGTTTTGCTGCTAAATGATACAACTAAATTACGGTCATGGCCAAAACATATATGTTCCCCAACGACTCTAAATTTTTGAATAATAATCAATAGGATATATAATTGATAAGGCACAAAGCCCTTTGTTAGCTAAGTCAGGCTCAAATTTGTCACCGTAGGCAAATATTCACCCCAAGTCTACAAGATACCCTTGGACGAAGCAACCCATGGCTACCGATAATGATCCTTCGGCCAAGTTGGGTCGACTATTTCCTCTGGCTAAATAAACTAGGGACCATGATGGCCTGGGACGATGGAACCATGAGATCTTGATCGAGTCTATCATAATCCCCCCACCATCCACTTTAAGTGCACGGTGGTAAAATTTCTATTTTCAAATATCAAAATCAGCTACTACTATATGTTGGATGCTATATATCTATTTAACGACTAGCCTTAATCGAAAGTCCTCTCTCATTGTCGGGAGGGGTAATTAATTACAGGGGCTTGCGCCTATAGGAAAATTGAACTCATATCATAAAGTCCTAATGAAATGATGGTGAAATCTCTAGGTATTGTCTTATCTAAAACTCAATCTGTCTTTCTCAAAATTTACCCTGGAACTTAAGCTTGTTAAAATTCTCCTCGACTGCCACACAAAAGAAAGAGAGGGTGCGAATTTGCGGAGCTCACAGTTACACAATTGTTTATACTCGTAACCTTTATATCTTCTTCACATGAAAATGTGCGTCCAGAATTGTCCTTTAACCAATCTTCAAACAAGAAAGCTTCATAGAAGTGGAAAAGATATTCACTTCAGTTGTTTCTTGAAGTAACTTTGCCGGTTACAAGAATAGACCTTCACAATTGGTCATCTGATATTTTAGCTTTTTTGTCTCATAAACTTATGGAATTCTTTATGTAAGAATAATAATGTTGCTTGGAATTGTAGCACTCAATATAATGATTTGAGAATAAAATATTTACAATTTTTTAGGCTAATGATAATAATGATGACTAACATTAATTTTATTCAAATTTTAGGATGGTATGCAGAAGGAGATCTTTCAGAAACTTGTATCTAAATTGGATGAATGCTGCCAGAAAATCAGTGTTGGAAGTGAGATCGATTATCGTCGCCTAATGCCTTCTGAAAATAGCAATCAGGTAAGCTTGTTTTAAATCATAGGGTGATTTTTTGTGAAGGTATGAACAGGTTGGACATGTTTGTTCTAGCCCAAAACAAGATTGAAATAGAAGCCAACTAGAATCAAATTTGGCACTAAATTTAGTCAGCTTTTTGCTTTGATTTGCTTAAATTTGTCTAGTTGATCTGTAGTTTTGGTATGTTCTAAAATAATCATAAATATCATCTGTTGACTAGCTACCGAACAATAATGCTAGCTTTGTTCTTCATTGTTTTGCTTCACTATATGTTTCTCAAATATAAAGCTTTAACCTAAACTTTTTCCACTTATTTGGCTCTTATAGGCACTGCTTTTAAATATCAGAAAAATTCCGGGACTATTTATGTATGTTATTGAGGTGTTTTACGTGTTTGGGATGAGATGTAATCCCATTGTATGTTTGATCAATATCAGTAAATATTTCAGTACTCCTATTTGTTCCTTCTTGAAAAATAGACATTTTCCCATTGACCTTTTAAAGTTGCAATAATATCTTTTGTACAACATCATATACTTCTCTGTGTGATTATCCATGTATTGAATTGTTACATTGACAAAAAGAGAATGTCAGGCGTGACAGATAGATGAGTCTTCCAACCAATTAGTGGTATCTGCAATGACACATTTATAAGAGAGAATCTACCGCTAGCCTCAATTCAAAGTGTTCTCCCTCACAGAAGAGAGAATTATTCTTTGGTGCTTGCACCCTTGGAAAACTTTCGAACTAAGAAACAAATTCTTCATTAGAACGCAAAGCGTATGGGTAGTGTTATCTCCAATATTTTAAAAATATATTCTAAAAATGACATTACTCAATCTCGCAATGGCAGGGGCACTGCTTTTTAGGGCCCACAGAAGGGTGGAAGTTTAAGCTTGTGTGGTTTTCAAAGTCCACAGCTAAAACTAGCTTGGATCTGTCATGCTCATTGTGTTGGTCTTTATTTGTTATACTCATTGTTTGAAACTGTTTGTGCAAATTAGCTTGATGTTACCCTCTTGCTTTCCTTAAAAATTTTGTTAAATATTATTGTGCCTTTTGTATATAGTTGGGATTCTTGAAATTTCTGTAGCTATTAATAGGTTTATTTCTACGCGACCACCTGGGCTCTGTCAATGCCTCATGTTCTTTCTGTGTTTTCAAATATGTGCTAATTTCAGGTTCGGTATTTCTGGCCATTGAATTCTGATAATTGCAGAGAATTTGATAAAATATGGAAAGAAGTTATTTCCCAATCTGGAGTAAAGCCCACTTTCAATGCCATCTCTGTAATGTTTGGAAGGTGAGGCATCTAAACCTCTTATTTTTTTCAACTAAATAGAATCCTTATCGGAACACGTTCATGTGTCAACTATCAGAGTTCTGATGGTGCCTGAAAGCTGCAGTGGAATAGCGAGGTTCAACTTTGACTATCTGTGTGGGCGTGCGGTAATGTACTTAATGCTCCTTTTACTTGATATTTTGATAAACTTCAATCTCCTTAATTATAGTGATATATGGATCTACAATCTTTTTGTTTCTCCATAATTCTAGTTTTAAGTTGGGCATTCATTGGAATGCCCAACTTAAAACTGAAATACATTCAGAAGGCAGGAAATACATTACATTGAGAGCAACTTTTGGTATCGCTATGTTTCATTGTTAAAGATTTGTGAAAAAAAAAAAGAATTTTTATCTCATGTATTACTCAACATGAATGAACTGCAACTCCAATTGCCTGTTTAACGTGTGGCTAGGAATATTTATATATTTTTAATCTTTTTTTCTTAATTAAATATTTGTTGGCCATTAAAAGAGAAGCATAATATTAAGTTAAGTGTTGCAGAGATGAGGATGCTCAGGTGGATGAGTGGATTTATCCTTAGAGATAGGATACGAAATGAGCATATACGTGAAAAGGTTGAAGTAGCTCCAGTAGAAGATAAGATTAGAGAGACTCACCTTAGATGGTTTGGTCACATAAAACGGTGGCCTTCCGATGACCCGGTTAGAAAAGTAGAGGTGTTAGATTTGACTTATGTTAAGAAAGCTAGAGGTCGACCTAAAAAGACTTGGTTAGAAAATATTAGAAATGATATTTTTTATTGGATTTAAACGAGAATTTGACTTATAGCAAGATACAATGGAGAAAAAAGATTCATGTAGCCGACCCCACGTAGTGGGACAAAGGCTTAACGTTGTTGTTGTTTCTTAATTAAATATTTAATCATTATGATTTTTCTATTTTTTTAGTAATTCAATAGTAGAACTATAAGTCGCACAATTTTTATCAATTAATACGGTGGGAGTCCTGTGACCCACATTCTTTTCCATTCTCACTGATAAACCTGATTGAAATAAATCTTGGAATCAAAATATAAACTTTTCAGATGAAAGTATTAGTTAACTCAAGCAAGTTTTAGTAAACCCCTTAAAAATATGATTTTAGTAAATTTAAGATGTGGATTTAATCTTGAAAAGTATTTGAAATGATCAATGTTAAAATCATTTAGATAAAGGTATAATTTATTTCAGAATAAATATGATCAAATAATTTTTATATCTGATTATTTTTATTTTGCCTATAGCAATCTTAACTAATATGACAAATAATCATTATTTAAGTTTCTATTTAATTAATAATAATAATCATGATTTAGACATATTAAATTAAATAATAAGGCAAAAATATAAACCAATCACTTGAACGGTCAGCCAGTACCAATGAAAATAAAAAAGAAAAAACAAAGTACTTTGGCATGTATAGTTAAAATAATAATGTATAGGTAAAAAAAACAACTTACTTTAGCATTACTTTGCTCTGTCATCATTTGAGTGGAGGAGCTAGTCGCTTGTTGTGGGCGACTAAGGCTACTCTTAAAAACCTTTTTTGTGATTTTTTAATTAATTAATTTCTCAATAATACTTACTTTAAAATTTTGTCCTTGGACGACTAGGATGGGAAAAAGATATGGGCTGAAGCAGGATTAGGCAGAGGATAAGAATATGATAGGTTATATATATATAATTACATAAAGTAATATTTCAAATATAACATTTAAACGTAAATTGCTCTTGCGTAAAACTTCTCAACGATTATGCATCTCGATTTTTGTTTTATCGACTCGAAACTTGTGTTGATTTTGGACTTTCGCTCGTGTGATGACCAAGGAAATATGAGTGTCTATTTTGGGTAATTTTGACATTTTTAATGTAACAGCGAAGTCTATTTCTCAAAAGGTCGACGTCATCCAACATTCGAGTCCATAGTCCATCGATTTCAATTGACTTTGCTCAGAGTAATTGCGCGAGGCATCCCTTGTGTAATTTTATATTTTCATCACAACGACATGTGTTTTAGGATCGAATGTGTTTTGGCTAGTTTGCATAGCGGTGCACCCACCTAAGGTTGCTTTTCATCATTATTTGATCGAGTCGTGCACAAGCAGCTCCTATTTGGTAAATTTGACATCTTTAATGCATTGATGTGGCACATTTTGCAATTGAATGATGTTTGAGTGGTCTACCTCTTCAACGAGCATGATCGGGGCGCTTTGATTTTCATTTAGAGTAGCGTCATGTTCGTTGGTTGTCATTCACGTCGTACTTGATCGCATTAACTTTTGGAGTATAGGTGGAGGTCAACAGAAAGCATATTGTGAGTCATATTAACCACATTAAGAAACTCTAAACCTTAGTCATCTTGCATCTACTTTCTACTGTCGTAAACTCTTTGGACTTCATCAACAACAAGTCAACAACAACAAACCTTTATGCCACTATGTGGGGTCAGCTGCATGAATCCTTTTTCTCCATTGTGTCCTGTTAATGGTCAAATTCTCATCTAAATCTAATAAAGAAAGGTCATTTCTAATATTTTCTAACCAAGTCTTTTTAGGACTTCATCATCAAGAATGATTATTCCTTAATATGAATTTCTTGCATTTCTAGTGTTCATCTACATTTCTCTAGCTCTTGTCACAACATAAACTCGATCATGATGAAAAGCAAATAAATGGTAGACTAAGTCTAAAAGTAAAATTATATTTTTGCATTGATTTAGTGGACTTGAATGGAAAGATGATAGCTATGGATAGATTGATTAGACAAAGGATAAATATTGTATGTTTGCAAGAAATTAAATTAAAGGAATATTCGTGTAGTTTTTATAGATCTTGAGAAGATATATGATCGAGTATCATATTAATTGATTTGTTGTACATTAAAGGTGTGTCAAAGATATATTGAAATTAATAAAAATATGTGAACACTAACTATTCGTAGAACTATTTGTAGAGTGACTAAGTCTATATATAGTAGGATTGCATCAACAATCATCATTGAGTTCATATATTTTTCAATATTATTTTAAAGACTAAAATGATGTTAGATGAATACATAAAATATGATAATTCCAATTTTTAAGAATAAAAGTGATGCACAACTGTGTGCGAATTGTTGAGGGATTAAGTTAAGTGTCATACTTTAAAACTTTGGGAGAGAGGTATTAAGCATAGGTTATGTCATGATACTAACAACAAAATATCTTATGAGTGTTAGGTGATAAGAGAATACCATGGAAACTTAAAGGCAAAATTTATAGAATTGTAGTTATGCTGACGTGTTGTATGCATCGAAGTGTTAGATGGCAAAAAATGTCATTGATAGCTAAGTTGAATGTAGTGAAATTGAGAATGTTTGGATGAAAACTTGTAAAATAGACTAAGGTGGTTTGGAAATGTGCGATGAGTTATAGAAAATGCACCTATTAGGCATATAAATAAATTAGAGTTAGAGGATTATAATGGAGAATGGATAGACCTAAGATAATGTGGATATATGTTGTTCAAATTAATTTACAAAGAATAAATTTAACACCTCAGACTATACTTAACAAAAACAAATAGAAACTAAGTAAACATAAAGCTGACCAAATAGTTGGGGTGAGGATGATGTTGTTGTTATTTCTATGCTTAATGATAATGAAGATGACTATGCCCTAACTGGAGCAGAAGTTCGTAAATTCCCCACTCAACTTTAAGAGTTTTTATTGATGCATGCTGGAATATGAACATTGTGGCATTTTTTGTGGTTCATGAGAGATATTTTAGGAGTCTTAACTGCTTATTTTGTAGAAACAGACTTAGTAGGTAATTACATGCTGTCTGTTAATGTCTATGCAACTTAAGCAAGCAATGCAAACTTCTGCTTTCATTGAAGGGTAGAAAACAGTCATCAAATACTTATACATTTAGTGTGAAGATTGGGATTTTGCAGTATCAACAATGTTTTTCAGTTGTAACATTAACTGGTTAAAGAAATTTATTTCTATTTTTTTGTTAAGATCTTTTTCCTTGAATTTTATTGGGTATTGTAGCTTATTCAAATCTTTATGCTTAGACTGGTGCAGCAGACTACATTGCGATTGCTAGGAATTACCACACAATTTTCATTTCCGATATTCCTATGATGAGCATGAGGATTAGAGACAAGGTACAAATTTTCTTGTTTATGTTAACATTTTTAATTCAAGGTAAGTTATAATTACTTTAAGAACAAATAAATATAGTGATAATTGAATTGTTTTTCCTATCACTTCATGTTTTATGTATCTCAAGGTTGCTACTAGCCTGTTCTAATTGAGCAGGAGGTCTTACAAGACACCAGCACTGCCCTGTTATTGCTATTCCAATTTTCTCATCTTCTGCTGCCTGATAACTTATTTCTTATTCAGCTTTGACTTTAATCCCCAGGCTAGAAGGTTTATTACACTCATTGATGAGCTATATAACCACCACTGCTGCCTTTTCTGTTTAGCAGATGCCTCGATTGAGGATCTGTTTGAAGGAACTGATGAGGGAACACTTTTTGATCTGGAGAGGTAATTATGAACTTGTACGTTTGTGCAAAGATGCATTAAAAAAATCACTAATGTGCATGGCCCTCACCTTTCTAGAGTAAATCATGAGCTTGTATGTCTGTGGAAAGATGCATTCCCTGGGAACGTACTTCTTCTTCTCAATTTTTCTAATTCAAGTACTGGAACCTTCTTCTAAGTTCAGCACTTTTTATTTATTTTTGTTCTTAGAATTCAGATATGGCCATTAAAGTGCACTTTATTGATACTGTATGGATTGCTTTAACTTTCTCTCTGTTGTCGACCAATCTTCTCTAACATAAACTAAGTGCATTTCCACTCTTGTAGCAAAAGGTGTGTTGCTCGACTTGTAATTTTCATGTCAAGGTATTTGGCTAGAAAAGTAATTCGATATGATAAATGTGGGCATAAATTGTAAGCAGTATACATTAGCAAAAATTAGGGCTTTAACTATAAGATTAAATCAGCTCTCTCTACCCAAGAGATTGATCACCTTCAAATGTAAGATTGAAAGCATTCATTCTCCTTAACATCATTAAAATTAGTATTAAAAAAAATTTCAAGGATTTGTAAGATCATTTGATTGTTAGTCAATTGCATCAAAATCATTATAAGAGATGACTAAGATTGCATTGGAAGATAATTAAGATTTTAAAGTGTTTAGAATTTCAGCTAGCTTAGAATCAAATGTAGTCGTACTTAATGATATGTTGCATGTGTTGAATGATTTTGATTAGTTAATTGATGTAAACAAATTAGAGCAAGGCACAAAGAGAGATCAACAAAGAGAAACAAATCTTACTTTTATAAAATTAAGACATAACTTATAACTAATATTGTTCATAACAAAAAATTAAGCAAAATCTAAATGCATCATTAATACATTGGTCAAGTATAGACTTTTTGAAGTGATTCTATTTGTTGTTCTTTTATTTTAATATGCTTTTTGAATAGATAAATATTTGTGAAAATTAATGAAATTTGAGTCATGCATTACTTATATTGTATGATGGTAGATTCAAAGATAAAATTAGGAAAAATATAGGCATTCTCCTCTTAGAAAGAGAAAAGTATAAGTATAAGATGTTTATATTTATATATTGAACAAATTATGCTAATAAATTTTAAAATCTAAAATAAGAATTTAAAAGCCTTACTTAAAGATTCATCAAATAGTATGCTGTTTAATTGGATCATTTTGCCTATGGCCCCAAGTAAATTTCCAGAACAGTAAGGTGAAACCTAATTTATATTCTGAACTTAAATATACTATAATAATATCCAAATTATTATAGACAACTAATATGGATATATTTTAAGAAGGTATAAGACGTTTATACGACAACATAATGTATTAAATGATTCATGTCATGCTTGTTCGATAAGTTTTACGTTGGTTTTCGACTATCTAATGCAACTCTCTCCTTTTCTTACCCAGGAAGTGAGACCTGACAATGCCAATGTTCAATAAATTTGTATGCTTCTTTGCAATTTTTTGTGTGATGCAGGATCAATATTCCAACTTAAAAATAAAATTAACAATGCTAAAACTTTAAATAGCTTAACCATTTATTTTAGAAAGGTATAAAATTTTCTTCTTTTTGAAACAAATTGTGAGCCTTTAAATTTATTTAGTAAAATTTACATTGATAAATGATGCGTTGAGACATGATTTGAACAGATTAGTTAACATAAATGATTAATTTATTGTTACTTAAGAGGAGAAATGAAAATCATTGAACAGATTTTCAAATTTAAAGGGATATTAATATAGGTTTGTCTGGGTGAACTTTGTTGTAGTTTCCAGTTTGAGACCGAGACTGAAGGTGTGAGACTACGGAGAGATGTTTTAACTGCAGGTAGTGTTGGCTTGGGACCTACCTCTACAGGAATTGCTTCTTTAATGTCGGGCCAGGAAGAAATGTTTGCCTTCCGTAGAGCTGTAAGTACCCACTCTCTTTTTTTGTTCATTCCTCCTATTCATCAATTATCTTGTAAGCCCGTCCATTAAGTATTTTGTGTGATGACTTTTCGTTCGGCATTGTCATAAGCAATTGTATAAGTTTGTTTACTCTATGGTAAGAAAGTGTATATATTATTATCCATGCCACTTTCCATTGATTTTGTCAAGGATGTTCAGAACATCTGTGCGCTGTATTTATTCTGCTCCGCACCAAACCTTCCACCTTCCTTCAATTCTACCACTTTTATTCCTTACTCTTTTTATTAATCTATTTAATGGCTGCTGACCACTACCCCACTAACCTAACTCCTAATAACTGCTCACGGTATGCTAAAAAAAAAAACAGCCGGAACTCCCTCTCCCAGTTCAAATTATTGGGTTCGGACGCCAGACTCTGTCCAGAGCCCAATGAAAATGCGTCACATCGCCCCTACTCAGTACTGAGCTGTATCAATCAGTACCGAGCTCAATATTGCTCAGTACCAAGCTCAATATTGCTCGGTACAGTTCAGCACCGAACTCAGTATTGCACAATACCGAGCTTAGTATTGCTCGGTACTGGATAACGTGGCTGCACTTGATTGATCTCCGAACGGAAAGCTGTGTCCGGTGTCTGAACCCAATAATTTCCCTGACTCTGATACTTACGGGCTCTCTCGACTTCTCTGTGCTGAAGACCCGCAGGATCAGCCCTCACTCTTTGTTCATTTGAAGGAACCGCACACAAGAGACACTCGAACTCCCTCCCTCTCGATCTCTCGGTGCCGCACACAAGGAGCAGAATAGAAACCTCCCTCACCTCTCTCTGTTTGCACGTGCCTCACCTACAATGATTACGGCCATGATTACAATGACACATGAAAGTGTATAATAAAAGGGATTATTGTAGAATTAAGTGTAACCTAATTAACCTACATGGTCGTAAAGATATGCCGAATGATTTTATATTGATCGTGGAATAATCTCTAGCTAATAATTTAATCCTTAAGTCGATTAAAGAAATATGTATATTTGCATTGGAAATGCAAGCCTATGATAAATCCCTATGATTGCAAGTAACTTGAGAAGGTAACAATGAAGGAGAAATAAGAGATTTAGTGGTTACCTCACAATTGAAAGGGAAGGAGAAGATGTTTTGCTATCATAGGTTCTTGATCTTGGAGCAAGAAAAAACAGGAGATTCTAGGTTGAGTGCCTTCACTTAACTGCGAGGGGAAGAGTTGAAGAGGGAGAACAGAAAGCTGTTTGGCGGCCGCTATGAGAAGAAACAAGTGTAGGATTGTGATGCCCTAACCCTCAAATCGAGCGGAGAGCGAGAGAGGGCGAGGTTTACATGGAAGGATTTCAATTTTTTATATTCTTTCTTCACCTGTAAGATGCATCCCATATCCACCACGATTCATATATGAAAATCATAGTATTTTAATTTGAAGCTCGCACATCCTTAGCTTTTTTAACAGATTATAGCTATCTTTACAGGTCTCCAGATTGATCGAAATGCAAAAGCCGCTTTACATCGAAGGTGTTCATATCTTACATCCCATGTATCAGCAGCAGCATGGACATCTATAAAGTAGGCATCAATCCTCCTGTTATCAACAATATATTTCTGCTCATTTGCTTTATATCTGCAGCCATCATTTGCAGCTATTGATTCCTCACTGTTCTACCGAAAGTCTTATTCATTCATTCATATATATAGGCAAAGAATAAGAGGTATTTATCTTTTGTATTGTATTGTATGAGCTTAAATTCACCCAACTTTTGTGCGAAGTGGGGAACTCTTCATACAATTTTATCTTATAATGGAAATGAAATTGATAGGGGAAGAACACCCAAATTGGAAACCAAAAGTTGAGTCTCAAAAAAAAAAAAAGTGAAATCTTGACAAAAAAAGGGTTGGGATATTTGATATTGAAAGATTTCTGATGTATTTTACTCCTTGTAAAGCGAATTCAATAGCTTTAATGCCTATCATGAACGTCATCTTCGATCACTTCGCACAAAAACAAAAACAAAAAAAGAATCAGAAATAGCTCAGAAAACATGCTTGAAAAACTAGCTCCATGGAAAGTTTAGGGTACTGGTGGACACCATTATAAACATAGAGCATCACCTTGGATAAGAAGCACATTGTTGTGGCCTAGAGCTTGGGAAGGATTGAGTGTGATGAAGCCATGAGATGCCTTTAACACTAGGGGTGCCAAATCGCATCGTGGATAGTAGGACAGGTCTGTGGTTTCGTGTCGGGTCAGGTCAACCTAAAAATCTGATGTGTTGGATTAAGGTTGACATTTCTGACCTGTTTGTAAAAATAGGATGGTTCAGGTCGTGTCAAATAATGACGGGTCAATATCAGGATCGACCCGAACCCGGCCTGCAACCCTAAAATTTTTGTTTTTTCATATTTCAACTATAATTTTTGTTTCACCATTGCTTCTAAAATTTTTTTTACTAAAAAGTTGCTTTCTAGAATAACTTTAATTATTTTTTTTTCCCGCAACAGTTTTATAAAGCGGTTAAAAGGTTGCTTCAAAAGAAATCTATGTTGATATGATGGTGTTGAATGATGGAATATCAATTGTGAATCAATCAATTGATAATATGATTGTCAACAATTTTTTGTCTATTATTGATGCTTTTTTTTTCCTAGTTGGTGATAGGAGCTTTTTGTAGTGTGAAGAGTTCATATGTAAAATTCATAAAGAACGTTCAATGCTTGAGATATGTAGGTTTCCTGCAGAATTAGAATTTCAAAATAAATTCATAAACAAAATTTGTATTTAATTGAAAACTGTGATAAAAATGTGCTGGGCGATTGTTTAATGAGCAACCCAAAATGAAAAGTAATGATTAGATTTTTTTCTTAGGACAGCTGTAGCGGTTTGTAAATATATTTATAAATGTGTTATGAAGAAAATTGTTTTTTTTTTAAGTTATTTTAGAAAGTAAATTTTTAGTACAGTAATTTTTAAAAAAACTGCTAAAATATAGTTATCAAATAAAAATTATGGTTGTAGTATGAAAATTAAAATAACAAAAAAATGATTTCAAATAAAGCTTAAATTTTTACTTTGTTTGGAATAATTTTTTTATTGTTTTCTAAAATAAATTTTTGTACCAAAATTTTTAGTTCAGGACATTTTTTTATAGAAAGTTTTGTTAAAAAACAATAAGAAAATTGTTTCAAATGAAACCTATAAATAAAAATTAAAAAAATAAGTGAACTTATTCTTATTAAAATTTTACTTATAATAGATCTTAAAAGGCTCTGAATTTTACTAATATAAATGCAAATGCCATGTGCATTTAAATAAAATTTTAAAAATATAAAATAAAATTATAAACATTTTATGATATGCTATATCAAAGATGTAAAATTTTATATCAATATGAAATATAAAATTTGCAAAAATATAGATGATTTATATTTTTATTATACTTGAATTAAGATAAATTTAAATAAGATTATATATATATATACAATTTAGGTTTATAATACACTTTAGATTTATTTCATTTATCTTTGCTCAAAATGCTAATAAATATCCTCTTAAAGAAAAAACGACATGTTTTAAAATGATTTATAATGCCATAAAAAAGGAAAAAAATTAATAATAATTGCAAATTTCAATGGCAATAAGAAGTTTAAAATAATGTTAGAAGGCATTGACGAAAAATGTACAATAGGTTAAATAAGATCTTAGAAAGTTCAAAAATAACTACATCAAAATTTTTTTTCATAATAATAAGCCAAATATCATAGTAAATAACAACGTCGTTATTGAAGTTCTTCATTAAGTTGTATATGCTATATAAACTATATAAAAATTTATAAAATTAAAATATCTTGATTATCACAACAATCATACGCCTACCAACAAGTCAGGAAAGATAGCAATTTTTAAATGAACATAAAAGGAAAAATACAATAAGAATTATTATAGAGTGAGAAACGATTAGATATTATCACCCTATAAAGGCATCCTTTTATATGCATGGTAGGATTCTAAAGCATCACACAAATAAGAAAAGACTTTATATTTTGTAAATTTTAATCAAGTTTGAAGTTATGTGGTCGCTTAGCCTTCTTCATCTTTCTAAAAATAACATATATCCTACAAAATTTAAGAAAAAGTTTAAGTGCATTAGGAATTTAAGATAGATGTGTAATTGAAAATGAGGATAAATTATAAAACATTTTGCATGAAATTGTAGGAACACAATACTTAGCAAGATTAGCTCCCTTATCATTTAAGACAAGCACAGATCTGATTAATTGATATTAAAAGTTACCATTTAAATGATGTGAAATTATCTAATATTCATAGAAGATTATAATATATAACTTACTAACAAAATATTAAAATATAATAAGACAAAAAATAATATCTTATACTTACCCAACTTAAAGGGGAATTGAAGCTGATCCATTAAATTTGTCCGGTTCTATAATTTTTAGCTTGTGTCCAAACATTATATTACACTTGCTTAAAAATGATAAAGTAGAAAATGGCCTTACAAAATCATGATTATTAATATGAGGTGGTATGCAGTCATCAGATTTATAGATATTAATAATACAGCTAACATGTACACAATTAATAAGCAGAACATGCAACGTAATTAATCGTCTTATCATAATTTTGAAGAGATTTTGAATAGGATCAACAATCACATTATGAAGGATGCCAGGAGGGATCCTGTTATTTTTCTGTAATTAAATTTATTGTTAGTTTTATATTTATTTTAAATGAATAAAGGAAATAATCAATAAGTTTAAATTACAATCGCATAGTTATAACAACATCCGAATTCTATTGTTACCGTCTTTTGCCACGCATCTTTATTTTTTGGCTTGAATTTTATCATTGATAAATAATAAGATAAGATAAAATTATAAAGAAATGACAAAAAATATAAACATAAAACAGATTATATATAATCTGATAAAAAGAAACCATGATATTTAAGTGCAAATAATTAAGTGGAATTATAGAAATATAATATTTTAAATAATTGAATAATGTTTAACAATTCTATGATAAATGAGCATGCTTAAAAAATATGGTATTCAATTAATTTAAAATCATGAATAATATCATTAAAAGCATATTAAACACCTTAATAAAAAAAACTCAATTTATTCTTAATGACACAATCATTTATATATATATATATATGTGTGTGTGTGTGTGGAATTATTGTTATTTTTTATATTGAAACTTTTAGATTAATTAAGGCAAGTAACTTGTATTTCATTGATTCTAGTAAGATTCTAGTAAAATATGAAATGAGTATGTTAGAACCTCAAATTATTATTTCAATCACATGAAGATTATTGAACATCATACCCGACAAAGCAATGCGAATATATGCTAGAAGGACAAAATAAATAATTCAAAACATTAAACGATTTAATATATGTAATGCTATTTAATTCAAAAGAAACTTTTTTATATTTTCATAATTCATTAATTGACAGCAAAATTTATAATTTAATAATAGCAAAACTCAAGTACATATGAATATTGTTGTGTGCTAGAATATACGCGACAGTAGAGTTTGTAAATTCGCGTCCGAGCGTTGTACGAGTATTCAGCACACAAACAGAAAGAGAAAAGAACACAAAGGTTTTTACGTGGAAAACCCAAAAAGAAAAAAAACCACGGGGTCTCACCCAGTTGTAAAGTTTCACTAGTGTTTTTGCAGATTACAAATGGCTGAATCGTCCCACAGGTCGGGACCATCATATTACAATTTATTTCTTCCAGCAAGTTTACAAAGTTCTGCAAATTCCCGGCGTTTTCTGAAAATCCGGCAGAGTTCCAGCGTGTTCAGGTGGCGGGAAGGGCTCCGGCGGTGGTCGAGGAGGAGCTTCTTCCTTCTCCTCCTTCTTCTCTTCTTCTTCTCTCTCTTCACTTGAGTCCCATTTGTGTAGAATAAGGACCCTATTTATGGTTTTTTCTGGAGTGGCATAGCCCGTAAATAGGCGTGAGAATATGGGCGAATTGGGAGTGGTTTGAATAAACGGCCGATATCGAATCCTTTGATCATGCACCGTTCGTTGGACATTTGAAGGTCTTAATGATGTCGGAATTTGGTGATCTTGGGCTCGTTAGATTCGTCTCGTCGAGCCACTCGATTCGAGAATAAGCTCGTTAAAATCGGAGACCGTTTGGTAACTCAAATTGCGGTTTGAACCTTCCAACAGCGCTTCGGTCCTTGATTCAGACCCATTTGGACTCGGATTGGGTCGAATTTGGTGTCGTTGGGTTCGTATTTCCGAGATGCTCAATCTGATTGTATGCTCGCTGAAATCGGAGTTCTGGTGCTTCCGGATTTAATTTTTGAAGTTTCCAACTAGCTTTTAGCT